CTCCATCTGGTCATAAAATTTTAGTCTACCCGAGGAAATGCTATCCTGTGCACAGGAGAGAGAGGAAAGAGGAAAAGAACTGTTAAATGAACGGATCTTTCCTCATTGTTTTGGTTTCCTCCCATATGGAGAGGAAGTGAATGTTCAACGAGCAAACGCAACAAAAGATAAATGGTGCCATGTAAAACTAGGTCATCAGTCAGTTCCAAAAATTGATAACGAACCGGAAGGGTAGGCTCAAACATTTATTAAGTGTCGTCAGTGTGATGTTTCTCAATCAGGAGGAATGATATCTTAAAAACAAGTACTTAAGGAACCAGGAGAGATATCGTTACGCCGAAAGTGTAAATAAATTGAGTTTAGTGTAGAGAGGGGACCAATTGTATTGACCTGATATCCTCAAGTGACATGGCTTTAGAGTCTACACATTTTTGAGAATCTCGGAGATTCATTTAAAATGAGAGGACGTTCCTTTGAAACAACAGCAATACCGTTTGAAACAATGAAATTTTTTGTTGACTCAACGAGATGCCTCGTCCGGGAATTATTAACCGTAATTCCTATTAATCCAGAAGAAAATTTTTCTCAATGTAGATAATGAAGTAATATAATTCGCGATCATAAAGAATATACGTCTACTACATTTCAAGTCAGAATTTTGTTTGTTTTCTGCGTAAAAAAAGTAAAACATGCCGGTGAAGAACAAGCAACTAGTGGTTAGTGGTTAGGTGAAGTTTGGTTAAGTCCGTCAAATTATCGTAAATCAGTGAATTTGAGATGCAATTGGACGTATTTTTGCTAAATGAAACTATGTGCAAGTAGAAGGATGGGGTGTGCTCGTTAGTTCAGGGCCATGAATGGGCCATGAGTGAATGGGAATTTAAAAGCGCCAGTGACGTCAGCGGTGACGACCGAGCTCGACGTCGACGAGAAGCTCACCGATGTGTATGTGTCGCAGGCAATTAGTCAAATCAGGCATTTAGTCAAATGCCTAGGCAAATAGTCAAATTTTACCGAAAACCCACTTTGGCTATTCGCCTAGGCAGTTGATAAAGTGCCTAGGCATTTGACTAAATGCCGTATGGCCTTTAGGCAAATAGTGAAACTCGTTAAAAATCAGGCAAATAGTCAAATTGCTTGGCTTACAGGAACACTTCATAACACCTTGGCCGCCAAACATACAGCCGGCTGCAACCGCCTCACGGATCGATATGAATTTTTCTCGCGGAATTTGTGAAAAGTCGAAATCAACACAGTCGATTCGTCGAAGGTCAGGTCTGGCGCACCAATTTTTTTATGATTCCACCAATAGTTCCGACTTGGTAAACTCCGTTACGAATATCTGTTACGAAACCTTGTACATTCTGATGATCAAGCGGCCCTCTATCGACTTTTGGGACGGCAAAAAAACCTTGTCTTCTATTTGTAAATCATCAAACAGTTTTTTACTTGATTCTGCCATGCCAGCTGCTGCATCTTTTTGCCTTTCATGAGTTTCAGAACGTGTCTGACGAATTACTATTTCATTCTGGCATAAGTTACAAAGGAAGGTAAGGGATGTTTGCCCGTCTTCGAGGGTAGTTTGCCCACATTGTGCATGGCAGACATTAGGACATGTCGAACACTGTTCAGTTTTACCACCTGTCTGACAGTTACAGCAAGGGACATCATTTATGTCATCTTCCAATCTAGCAGCTTTTTCTACAGGTGCATCCGATGGTTCCGGCTCATTTGAATCCCTAGAGCGTTTTCTTTCTTCATTCCCTTTGTTCTGCAAGTTTTCAAAATCTTCTTCAGTCGTTAATTTAGCAAGAATGGAGGATGGTATATTGGTGCTTCCAAGACCCATTTTCGGTTCCGAAACCAAACAGAGCCGTGTACGGTGATCGGTTCAAAATGCGATGGAAGCACCTCTAGCCCCGGTCCGTTCATTTGACTATGTGCCTGATCACCTCTCGGCATTTTGTCAAATGCTCAGGCATTTAATAAAATGCCTAGGCATTTAATCAAGCGCCTAGGCATTTAGTCAAATGCCTAGGCAAATAGTAAACTTCGTTAGTTTCTTACATTTCTTGACTATTTGCCTAGGCATTTGACTAAATGCCTGATTTGACTAATTGCCTGCGACATATGCTTTAACTCATGAGCCTTGTCCACAACGCTGCTTCCACATGCCCCGGCTCATGAGTTAGCATATTATTTTGGCGCTCAGTTCCTTTTGAATTAATGTCAAATCCCGTTTTTCCATTTCCTCAAAAGGAACTATATCCACTTTTACACTGTTCCTTATCCAGCTCACCACGAGCGCAACCCATCTTTCCACTTGCCGATAGTTTCCTTTAGCATAAATCCGCCAGATTATCTTACAGCATTCTTGCACCGATCCGGATCTGCAGTTTTATCGTATGTTTTTTAAGGTGAGGGAGACGTGTTGAATAATGAACTTGTTTGAGAAAACATGCAGAGACTTTAACACTTCTTGAGGAGCGCAATCTCTGTCCTGGGAGACGCAGGAACAGAGGGCCTCATCCTGGGACAATGCGACCCCCGAGGTGCGGTTTTGTTCTCTTTACGTGTTAGGATTGACACCAATTTGCCCTCTCCTCCTTCCTCCAGGACTCAATGCCAGGCAGGTGAGCAATCTTACGGAATTTGTACTCAACTCCCTCTCCACCCTCACAAACCTCGTTGCCAAGTTTCCAATGAAAATATGCAATGTTATTGCGTGACGTCACCATCAGAATTATAAGTGATTGTGATTATTATTTTTGCTCATTTCTATACGACCCCAAAATATAATGTAAGATTATCAAGATTTAATTACAAGAATTGGAGATAGTTTTTCCTGCAGTTTATCCTTTTGTCCTATCTTTGAACATGGAAAATTATGAAGGAGTCTGCATTAACTATCCAATTTCCTTCAAATCCTCATGATTTGATCATGAGTACTTCGATACAGTTGATGTAGGTAATTTGCACCAATAATGTAACCTTCAAAGTTCATACTGCATGAAAAAATCGAATAGTAATAATAGAGGTGATAATATTTTTTAGAAGTGGTAGTAGTTGTAGAATTAGAAAACGTATATAAAAGACGATTATAGGAGCTCAACAGAGCCATTGAGTATCACAGCATTGATGTAATAAAATTATTAATTGAGATCTTGATTTTTTTTTTCTTTTTTTGACTTTTTTGTCTAAGTTGACTCACTTTAAATTTTTCAAAATATAAGGTTTCAAAATTTTTCACAAATATTTTGAAAAACCACCAGTGCCTTAGTTTGATTAAAAGCTGTAAGTTTCGAAAATATTGAATGTTTCAGTGCGCTATGTTCGTGTCAGAAAGTCATGATTCCTCTCCTCTTAAGTTTCCAAGCGTTAGGAATAATTTTTTTTTTTTTAATGTACAGGTGCAATTTTCTACCCTCCGCCATGTAGAATAAATGTTTAACCTCTAAAATATTGCTCTTAAAATTAACCTAGGAGTTGTCTGAATTGCATTTTTCATCGCAACTTGACAATGTGGTATAACCCTTTCTTGGCCTCGGGGTTTCGTGATGCTGGGAGTCGAGTACCTTTCATCCGAGGCGTTGAATAAGGTTGAGAAATGTGATGAATTGGTGGGACGGGTGGATGGGCGAGAGGAGGCGCCCACTTCTGAGGGTGCATTCGGAGGACTGATAGGTTCCATCTTCCGAGGCTTTTGCGATATCTTGTGTATAAGTAATTGGCACGACTGTCCTCGGCACAGTAACTGCCAAGAAACAGTGAAGTAACTGTTCAATAATAATGTATTTAAGCTTCATTTTGCAATTTGGAATTAACATTTCTAGCTCAGTTTCGAAAAAACGTATGTACTATTAGTTTCCCTATGTACATACGTGTTTTTTTCGAATGAGCCAGAAACTGCAGCTCCTAATTGGACTATACTTTGCAATCCGGAACTAAAATTTCTGGCTCGGTTTAGAAACAACGTATGTACCATTAGTTTTTCTATTACGAATGAGCCAGAAATAGTTCTCAACTGCCGAAAAATGAGGTCCAATTGCAAAATGAAGTCCAATTGAGCCACTCAAAAGTAGATAAACTGATGAAAAGCACCGAAACTATAAAATCGTATATATTGGTCTCTCAATCTTGGAAAAAAATAAATAAATAAAAAAAAAAGAAAAACAGGTTGATAGGAATTACACAAAATTCATTTCTGTAGGGACATAGAGTTTCAGTAAAATTGCGAGAAGCAATGTGAATACGACTCTCGAAACTTTCACAGCTGACTCTAGTAGTAGTAGATCATAATAATACCATTATCGTGCCGAACAAACGCGCATAAATCTAAAGTATCTAAACATTTCAGAGAATAAATTCGGGTAGATAAATTTTTTATTGGGGAAATTTGGCAACGCTCGATGGCTCATAAAACTTTTCCTTCAGCAGAGCATTAATGTAAAACTACAGCTCAGATAATTGCACCCACGGGTGCAGCTAAAATCATTATNGGGGGGGGGGGGGGATGAGGGACGATTCATTCTTTGTGAGACTCTTTCGGTGATGAATGGTGGCTACATGGAACACAACTTTTCTGGTAGGGGCGCCAACTTTCTTCGGACCTGGTCTCTCAATGTACGTGCTTGTGACGTAGCCATTGGCGGATCCAGCAAATTGGCAACATTGTTTTTCTATGGAAAAGTATCGACTTTTGGAGGGGCCAGGTGCTCCAACAAGAATCGAGTATTTAACATAGGCTTTAATGGAGGAAACCCGGTGTGCCAAATTACTGGATCCGCTTCTGAATTCACCATAATGTCCATCTCATTGGACCATAGCTATAATCTGCGACAGCTGGTTACATCTGCGCTTCCAGCTCTGAAAAGTCACAAGGGTTATTCACGGAGCTTTGCAATGTTACATAATTCTAAGATTGTCAAAAGATAGCACATGTTATTACGCAGAAAATTTGAAATAGATAACAATGTATGGACGTAGAACATTTTTCTTACCTGTGACGTAAGCGTTAGAATTAAAACCGGAATTTTTTTGTAGTTGGGGAAAACCTGAAACAGACGCAAAAAGAGTGTCAATTTAGATTTCAGATAACATTACGTAAAAAAGTTGATTTTGACATTAAAAACTCGAAAGGACAGCTGCTAACATTCCTCTCAGTGAATCGTGTATTTCACCGAGAGCTACTCAAAAACAAACAAACAAAAACCAAAAAAAAACAAAAAAAAAAACGTAGCACTCTAGTTAATACTAATGGGCCTTTACGGGCTTTTAATTACACACAACTAGTAGATAAATAAAAGTATTAATTTAGTATTAGTTATTCGAATGAATTTTGCTAGTTGCCCTACTGCTTTACCAAATTTATCGGATATAACGACTGACAAATTTGATAAATCGAGTAGCTTTTCTAATATATGCTTCCTTTCAACGTCTAAAACCGGATTTCATTGAGTGATAAGGATCCACCAAGGTGAAATTCCTTTCAGAAGACTTTCCTTTCATATTCTCACTTTCTTACCGATCATGTAAGTTATAGGTAGGAATGTTAAGCCCAATTCACACCATCAAACTTTCCGTTCAACTCTTGAATGCAATTTGTCGCATGAAAAGTTGAATAGTGTGATACCGATCCGAAAAATCGACAATTTGATGAAAAATTGAACGAAAACTTGAATGTGACTTCACACCCAACTTTTCTTTCAAGTTTCCATCCAATTGGCGGCGCAAATTGGATGGAAAATTTAGCGAATAGTAATTGAATTTTTGCTTTCAACTTTCCATCCAGCTTTTCGTTATTCAATTATGTCGGATGAAAAGTTTGATAGTGTGAATTTGGCTTAACAGGTCTAAGGAGCAAGCACCAGATCTTATCATTTTTAGACTTTCTCTCCCTTGGTCGAGTTTTTTCAAGCACCATCAACCCTTCATCCCTCTTAAAGACTCTTTAGGCGCCTTTAACACCCCTCTCTCCTGCTTCCTAAGAATCGCATCAACCTGCGCGCATCCCTTTATTTCCGCGCTTTAAAAAAGAAAAGAACAAAATATGAACAGGTTTGAATATTACCGTTCATCTTTCTTACTCTTTTCCCTCACTCATCAAATTTTCAAAAGCACCTCCATTTGCCAATAATCTGTTACGCCCCTGTAAGCTTAACATCTCCTCTATAGGTGCCCGATGGTCTTAAAAATTCTCAAAGATAAAATAATTCGGTATACAATACATGCCTTTTTCACAAAATAAAACTTTTAAGTTAGTTAGAAGGTCAAACATTGTATTCCCTTTTTGACTAACAATAAGAGAACTTGGAAAAATATTTTAGCCTGCCAGAAAAAAAATTAACCCAAATTGTGTCAGGAGTTTTTACGTAACTAGCATCTTCAGCATCACCATGGTGACAAGTGTCTTACAGGCTATTTCAGGGAGTTTAAATCGTCGAAAACTTTTTGGTGAAGTTTTAAAAATTTAAAAGTAAGTTATCATTGTTCGAAAAGTAGCAATCATATTTTAAAATCTAAACAAACAAAAAGTTTCCATAGTGTTAAAATATTGCAATATCAAGCTTTATAGTTCATCTCTCAGTAACCGATGCCATCATTAGAGGCTGTACACCATAACTGTATAAAATAAAGCACACTGCTGAAATAATGTGCGTAAAATTTCCTTTTTGTTGCTGTTCTGCATGAAATCTTAAATAATGGTAACCATGACCAATTATTGTGTTTTTTACCACTCTTTCAGACCCTTTCATCCCTTAGTAGAGGAACCATCACCAACAAAATTCCTTGTTCCAAACGCGCTCCAAATTGTAGTCACCCCTTTTTTACTCACTTGCATGTTTTCCTTGACGATTTTTTTTGAGAGGGGGGGAGGGGCAGGAGCAGAAGCACTAACACTAGACCTGGAATCCATCAGGGATTCAAGTAAAGTCCTTTAACATCGTATATCACGCATCTCACCCACAGTCAAGCACAAAACGTGTGAACCCCCTCGAATTGAAAGTATCTCATAACACAAACTAATTACGATCTAATTGAAAGCCCTCTTTGGTTTTTAGGACAGTTCAAAGCGGCGGGGACCTCTCAATGCGATGACATGCCGTGTCGGAGCGGTTGAGGCATTCGAAATCCGAGTCAACCGCGAAATTAGCTTTTCATCGCGAAAAAATCGACACCGGTCTCCCATCACTCGTGTCTTGTGTGAAAGCTCACCCTCTCCTCATCCAACCTCATCCTTTCATTCCATTCTATCGCCATCGCCCGCAAATTAGGCATTAAACGGCCTGGGTAAGAATCGAAAGTGAGAAAGGCCGAGAGAGACGATGTATCGTTACGCGTTCGATAGCGCCCTATTCGTTTTTCAGGAGACATATCGAAGCAAGAATTTTGATGCCGCTAATCTACAGTCGAATCAATACCTCACTTTTCACGTCAGGTGTCAATAGCGTTGCGCACGCGAACTTACGCGCTGAGTTGCCATTTCCAAAAAAAGTCAACTTTATTAAACTTTCTTTCCTTCCGAAGTTTTTATCAGGTAGTACTAACCTTACATCCATTACCGTTCCCATAATTTCTAGTAATTATTCCTGATGCAATCGTCCGAAACAAGTGTGTGCACCATGATTCATTGATCGATAAAAAATAATTTTAAGTTGTGCGCTCCCATGATTTCCATCCTATGTGATCGATATGGTTTCTCAGTTCGCTAGTTGCGAAACGTTGTGCGCCGGACCTTGTGTTACACGAGTAATATTAGTGTGTTTTACACGTAGTAGGAGGCAGAAATCACTGAACTAGTTCAGTGTGTTTTTATGTGTTTTGTGCGTGACTTAGATAGCAACTTCCAAATCTTTAATTAAAAATCCCAAATTAGAAAAAAACGTGTGTTTCGATTACCAATGCGGTGATTCAACTGATGCCTCATTAATTTTAGATTTACGTATATGACGTAGCGCAGGGTTGCACGGGTGAAATGAAAAATATGAAATATGAACGTTTCCGTGAAATATTTCATGAAATTGTGAAAAATATGAAACATATGAGACACATTTTCAGGGGCTGGATATGCAACACGCACTAAAAAACACCAAACAGCAAAAATCAATCGCCTTTCATTTAATTTTGCATTTAATTTCGAAAAATATTTTTCATTCTTTTTCATATTCTTCGGAAATTTCAAGCAATATTTCACATGAAATTTCAAGATTTTATTTTTCATGAAAAATTGCAACCTTGACGTAGCGTAGTTAAATGGTCGAGGCAATATGTGACCAATTTACGATGCAAGTTGATTAGTATTCTCTTTATATGTAAAATTACGTCGTATTCTCTCCGGACGATAATTATAGGTCCATGCAAACCGATTATCGGTTAAAGTGCACGCAATTGGACTCAAGTGCATCGCAAGGTTCTCAGGACTGTGAAACTTCATGATCTGGCGAGAAATAACGAAAAGAAAGAAAAATATAAACTAAGTGAGGGCTAAAATTTTGCTTCACCAGACTGTGTTCCATTCTAATTAATTATGAGTTTTTTTTTTTTTTTGGGGGGGGGGGGGCTGTTGAACGGACATGGCCAAAAACAGAAAGTCAAAGGTCAACATTTTGCCATCGACACTATTACACTCTTTGTTCTTTCCTGGCCTACCAAAAGGAATATATTCTACCCTGCCGTGCTAAGGAAGAACGCCGTATAAACCTTCAGGCGTTGCCAAATTTCCTTCAGTAAATCACGAATTCTCGGGGAAACTTGTCAATATTTTTCGTCCAATTTTTCAAATAATTTTGTTCGGAATTTCACCTAAAGTTTCTAAAAATTCCAAAGACGACTACTCTCAGCTTTCTTCATAAATACACATTTTATCTGGAGAAATTTGGCAACTCCCAAATGTTCATACGGCGTTTTCCCTCAGCATGGCAGTATCGGAGGTACGTTTTAACACTTCATCGTCTCCCCCGCCCTGAGAACTCATAATTTTCTGCCGCGCGGCGACACCGCATGCGCGCGCCGGGTCTCGATCGACACTTTTTTGTGCTTTTCAGGTATTGACAAATTAATAAGCCGTTAATTAACACTCCGCCGTGGCTTATTAGCGCTACTCCACGCTTTGATACAACTCAAGCTCCCCTCCCTCTCCCCTACCCTCATCTGCTCCCAGCCCACCCCCTCTTCGCCTGCATGCGAGCACGCGCTTGAAAATTGATAGCGTTCTTGTGCTCGAGGCTCAAGCAATACCGTCACGGACCATGCGGGTGCGGTACTGTACACCAGCTAAGGGTAGAAGTCACCTACCACTAGGCGTCACACAGGGTGCCGAGAAGATCGAGGTGAGAAAGTCAGGGAAACATCCCATGCTCAAGGGAGCGCTCCATCATCGCGAAACGTAAGTATGTTTCTTACGTGTGTCTTAGCTTCTCTCGCCTCCCCCAAGTCGCCCTTAAGTCCAAGTCCACCCGTAATTAACCACACAGCAACACAACCAAGCTAAGGGAGAACGCCGTATGAGCCTTCAGACGTTGCCAAGTTTCTTCCAATAAAACCCGAATTTACTGGGAAAATTTTGAATATTATTTTCCATAATTTTCAGACAATTTCGTATGCAATCTAATCTTAAATATATGAAAATCTCGAAGAAAAATGTGCACGAATGTCGTCAAAAATACATGTTTTATTGAAGGAAATTTGGCAATTCTCGAATGTTCATCCAGCGTTCTTCCTTAAGCACGGCAGAACAGAACAACACCCTCCTCCTACTTCACGCGATTGATAGTCAGCAATATTCTTCATGACATTGTACCGAAGAACACAGATTGAACACAGGAATCAAAACACTTTTTCGTGAATGGATGCTTAGCAATTATTTTTAGAGACTTATGGCACACGCCGTAGATGGCGGTTCAGGGTCAAGGCTTCAAAAAAGTTGGTACGCGCCCCGCATCTGAATTATCTTTTTTTACGCCCGTCATACGCGGTGAGGCTGCCAACACACGGATTTCCGGTCGGAGGGAAATAATTCGGGATGTAACGAGTTACTTTGGGTCCCAGTGAAGAC